TATGAAACAAAAGACACACTGCTTAATGTCTAAGCTTGGACACTTAATTTCGGATCTAGATTTCTTGTTAGATTGATTAGCGAATGTGTAGCTAGAAGGTTGAGACACTAAAATCTAGGAAAAGTCATCATATTGAGATAGTTACTACAAATGGTGAAAATCCAACCAAACTTGAGTCAGAAATGAATTAGTGTTATGAAATCTACCTTAGAATTAGCACACTAAGTGAGAGATTGAATAACAAATTTTGGGGTATATATCCCATAAGATTGACTATTGAGGATCCTGATGCAAATATACTAAAGTATATGATGTTTTGATTGACTACGTACGTACATATATCGATCAAGTACTAAATTAGTGAAAACTTATTTTGATAGCATTATACATGAACATTTTATGTATTGTTAAACAGTTTCGATACTTGAGGCAAATACAATTATCTACTACAATGATTTTATCTCATTGTGTGATAATAGATAATCTTGCTTGAGACAAATACGAGGGTAAGTTTGGGGATGTTTGACAATTGTATTTTATCCACAATTTGAACTTCTAAACTGGATTATTTAATGCTAATTGATTGAATATTTATATATTATATTGTAAATTATGTTAATTGTGTGTACAACCCCAACTTGGATGTAATTGGCACGAAAGTGTTGATTTGGAACTTATTGTAGTTTATCCGGATCAATTGAAGATCAACTTGATTGAACGGGATAAATAAAAGGAAACTAAGAGAACAATTAAAAGAAATTCTATAGTTTCGGGAGCTAAATCCAACATTTGGAGCTTTGAGGAACTTAATTGCAAACTACATGAACTTTCTCGAATCAATTGAAGATTACTGTGGATGATGTGGATTGAATTACAAATTTTTAAAGATGAATGATCGATGGTGCCATAAAAAGTGACTTGGGCTTAATCAAATAAGAAGTTTATGGACCAAGTTGAACGAGACAAAAGCTTATGCCTTGCGATTGCAAGCAATGGAATATCACAAACAACATGTCTAAAGCTATAACCATGCGATTGCCTCGCACTCCGAGACAAAAATATTTTATTTGCTATTTTGACACAACTTCTATTTGGAAAGAAGGTAGGGCACGAGTTTAAACGTAATTGCTGAAGCTATACATACAATCTTCGTTTATCATTCAATGAGGAAAGCCTCAGAGAAGCCCTTGGATATATAATACATATTGTTTTTACAAGCTTTGGATAAGTTTTAGACGTACAAACATATATATACATGCATCAAATTCATACAATTGATCAGAATTTGTAAAAGATCTATACCCAAGAAGATAGATCAAGAACTATTGAAGAGATTTTAAATTCAAGATTGTTTTCTATCTTCTTTATACGCTTTAATTCAAGATGATATTGGAATAATTATTTAGGTGACAGACATTGAACTCTAAGTTATGAAATTTTGATGTTAGATTCCAAATTTTGATTCTAAAATATTTGTTTGGTTTGAATGGTTATTATGATTTCAATGTCTTTTCAATTACTTTATCAAATAATTAAACTACTTTGTGATTTGAGAAGAATATTTATTGTATAGTCTAATGCGGGATAGAGATAAATCGTTATACTCTGCATGATCTTATAGATGTTATAGTGATTAATGCATCTTTATAGATTCACATCTTTTGTAGAGATATATGTGGATCATATGTGAGGATATGATTAATTCTACTGGAGATATATTATTAAATGAAATAGGAAAGTTGATCTCTTAAAGTTTGAGTAAATATTGTCTAGTATTTGATTGATATTAAAATGAATGAATATGGAGAATTTCAAACCCTAGTGCTTGCTATCAATTGGATATTCATAAACGCTTCCCATCAATTAGTTAGATTAGTTATATGTTTTAGTTAGTTAATATAACCGAACCAGCAAATCTTGCAATTCGATTAAAGTTAAGTTTAATTAAAATTAGATCAAATACTAAGCACTCATGGGTTTGATACTTGGACTCACGACTAGTTCTACTTTAACTCAACAAGTTTTGTCATCAGTATCGGTGACAGTAGAAATTTAGTTAGTTTGTAATTAATTTATTTTTAGTTTGATTTTTCATTTTATTCTTATTTTCTTTTTTCTTTTTCCTTTTTCAGCTAGACTACCTGTTTTTCTTTGTTTCATTAATAGGTAACAATAATGCTAGATGAGAGATCTAGACATGCCTATGGGGGGATTTCTCCAACCTAAAATAAGTTAAAACGAAGAGATATGATGTATTTGCCAAAATTGATGAGGATGATTTATCATTGTGAGTAATACTAGGATTACCGTGCTTGATGACCTTTCCTTGGGTGTAGTCATATTAGATTTACCATTGGTGGTAAGTGGCTAGGTTTTTGTTACGAGTATCTTGCCAGTAAGAGTCTCCATCAGCAACCCGTTCCATAAAGCATCCCTAACTTTCTCATCTGATATGGTTTCGCAAGCTATGAGTTTAGCACTGAAACGTGCAAAATAGCTTTTTAGAGATTCATTTTCATCACATCTAATGTCATTTAGGGAGTGTTTAGAAGTGATTTTTCATCCCAAAAAATTAATTTTTTGAACGTTATTTTAGTATTTCAGCCATAAAGTTTGACTTCTTCTCTCACAAGTGGCCCCCACTTCTCTCACAGGGCCTTAGCATTGTGGCTGTTATCGTCTCGACCTGCTTACAACAAAGGCCTCATTGAATGTATGATTTAATTGTGGCCGGCTTCTGATCGAACCTAACGATGATTTGCTATACCATTTCTTTGGAGGTCCATTGTTAAATGAAAATCTTGACATTTGAGTGTGGAACTTGCCTTCTTCAACATCATCTGAGTCATGTCCTCAAATAGGTGGTACATTGGATCATCCTTTTCGCTATACTTCTCGAGCTAAATGAAATTATCCAAAATTGAAACCTCATTGATCTCTTTCGAGAACGGTTGACTTTGGTCACATAGAGGAATAGAATATGAAGAGTTGATCAAACTTTCGACTCTTCTAACTTCATGGGGATAGTGTTGATTGTGCCTTTTGTCATGAGAATTTATTTTATTCACTCAACGATTTTTCGCCTTTTATCAGTTAAATTGCTATAGGTTTTTTATTCCTAAACGTTGATGCTATTCTCACAGAAGAAACTTATTACAGGCTCTCTCGTTTTCACCCAATTCTCATTATATATTTATCTTTGGATTCTTTACTTTCGCATGTAGAAAAGCATTTTTTGTGGTCAATACTTTAAAGCTTTCTGCCATCTCTTGTGAGGTCTTTGTTGTCGACATTTTCTTCTGAGCTAAGCTGAAGAGAGATCGACTAGCAACTTCACTAGATTTTTTTCCCACTGTCTTTTTCAGATTTATGTCTCTGTTAACTAAATCATCACTGTGCTCCTCAATTTCGACTTTTAGGGCCTCCACTTCTTCTTAATTTGCCTTAGCTTGACTTATTCTTTAGTGATTTTTCTGTTTCACTTAATTAATCTGTTGTTATCTTTGGTTTGATTTTTAATGGATGGTGCAATTGTTGACCACAAAATCAAGATCAACAATTTCCTCACCTAGCCAAGATTTTCTCCTCCTAATCTCACTACACTCGATGCTCAACAAGGAGCAATGAGGAAAATGACTATTTAGGAGGAAAATATTTGAATTTGCATCCCTCTTTGCTTCTAGGCAGTACCTATTTATAGATTTATTTTTGGAATTTCGGACATTTAGATCTTTTTAGTCAATGACAAAAAGTGGCAGCCATTCAATGGTGAATTTCTAACTAATTTTATTTTGCGTTCTTGTTTTATTCACTAAGTTACTTGTTCATTGGTTTTGAAGTCATGCACAATAATGATTTCTGCCAACATGAAATGTTATGGGGACAGTTTAACCTTTTTGTCCGTGAACTCTTATGCTTACAATATTTTCTAGCCTCGTACGTTTTCAGGCTAGTATAAAAAGGTCATGACCTCATTCGCCCATCCCTTCATATTTACTTATTCAACAGTTAGATTAGTTATAAGTTTTAATTTGCTGATATAACTCATCCATCAAATATTGCTATTTGATTGAAGTGTTTAATTGAAACTAGATTAAATACTTAGTTTTTATAGAATTCATAATTTGACTCACCTCTACTTTATTTTTTTAACAATATCGTCCACTTAACAGAATTTTACCGCAACTTTGAACTTTGAATCGTCCATCTTGCATGAAAGTGTGTGATAAAATATTTTATTCTTCACTTACATCCTCTTCTTATTTACTTTTTTGTACTAAAACTTTTTACTCCCAAAGTACCCATCGAAATTTGAATAATTGTCTCTCTGTGTTGTCACCATTACAAATATAGTTCATTAGGATATACTATTAACATCAATAAATTTAATAATCCCTTCGCATTTTCATAAGATGTATTCAACAATAACAAAGAGAGATCATATCTCCAATAGCTTGGGATTAACTTTCTATAGATTTTTTATGCTGCAAAAGATGAAGAAACTTGCTATGGAGAGAAGTATCCTCTACTCTCCTTCAAAACCCTTGAAACCGATATCCATCTCTTCTTGCTTAAGAAATGAGAAAGGGCCAACATGTTTACATATATAGAATCCTATGGACCAATTCCATATTAAGCGGAGTGATAGTAGGAGCCTCCATGCGCGTTGATAAAAAAGGGACCGATCCCATTATGGGTTCAAACAATGACTAAATGGAATTATAGTTCATATAATAAATATAACATATACAAGGGTGAAATGGAGAAAACTCAGGAAGTGAAATATATAAAATCACAAACAGGTACTCAACTTACCGAACGTTTTCTCTTATATTTATTTACAGACGTTTCAATCGCTTACAGAAGAAGATTACAAATATGCAGATTTAAAGCATGCTTTTTGCTAAGCTTATAAGCACCACTTTAAAGGCGCTTGGCCAAAAATGCTCTAAACTGAACTGCACAGATTTGCTTTTTCCATGTTGACAAACAATGATGATTCAGACAACAGTCAGATTTATTTAAAGAATACCTTCATAAATATTTCTGAGAAATCTACTGAAAGAACTAAAAAAAGAAAAAAAAAATATACTCCACCGTCTGCAAGTTATTTCATACAACTTTCTTCATCTCTTGCTTCCAAAAGAAAAGAACACACTCCAATTCGTGTCTTCACGGCTTGTTTGGTAGGGCAGACTCTGCTTACAATATTACTAAAGAAGAAAAAAAGTTGACATTTTGTGGTGCCTACTCCATACCAAACATAGCCTCATAGATAAACTGTACACACTTCAATTTCCAGCTAAGTCATTATCAATTACCTCCATAGAGATCCTGATTCCTGAAGCATTGCCTATGCATTTTGAACCTCAGATTTCCCCACCCCACACCTTGAACTCCCAAAGAAAAAAAAAATGAAAAAGACAACAAAGGCCTCCCACTAATGAGATTATTCATAGGACTTCGTACCATTACAAATTGATATGCCTCAAGCTTTTCCTGCTTATAGCACGGGTTAGAATGATCTTGCCAAACTTGCAAAACTGCTGTAGTTGTATCTTATACCCAACGTTGCTGTGTTATCCTAGTGTTTAGAGGATATCTGGTCTTCAGCAGCATATCCTACTTGAAGTATGCCAAAAGGAACCACCTGCATTATCAATTTAAAATCCAGTAAGATCAGCCTGACAGTGACTGAACGGTATCGCAAGACTTAAAGAATTAATGCAGCTACTTAAAAGTACAATCAATTACTTGATCGTTGCTTGAAATATTATCTCTTGAAGTTTTAGTTCTCTTTGTGTCATGTACTCTGCTCGACTTCTCTTCTTCAAGATCTTCATCGTTAAAGTTCTGACCCATCACCTCTGTAGAGAACATGAATGAGAGTAATCATAAAAAAAGATCTGGCAAACTAAGATCTAGTTTTCATGCGGACTTTCCTCCACTAAGTTCAATGAATTGTTGGAATGCATTTTATTCAGGGATATATTGGATATTCCACTCCAGACACATTAAGTCAACTAATATTCCTATCATATAGTAAAGGATTTTGGGGGAAAGGTGCGTTTCTGAATAGACAAGACAGAGAGATGATAAAACCTAGTAATCTCCTACATTACAATGAAGAATCTATAGCGGCAGGTGGGCCTACATCTCACTTCTAAATCCATGTGTTCGTGATTTTTTATTTATTTATTTTATTTATTTATTACTATTATTATATTTTTTTATTTTTATTTATTATTATTATTATTTTTTTGTGCATTGCTCTTGGAGCAAGGGATTAAGGTTTATTCCATAGTGCATGGCCTTCAAAACCAAGGCAAAACACAGAAAACAAGGTTCTGTCATTTTACTAATAAGGTCCTTTCATGTTATGAATTGTGAACTAATCTTTCTTTCCATAAACAGTTATTGAATATGTAGTAGTGAAGAGAAAAGAATTAATTTTATTAAGAGGATGAAAAATACATTTCTTGCTGAATGCTAACGTGTCTTAGTTTGTGAATAAAATTACTACAATCGCATACTGTTCCAAAAAGGTTGCCAAAATTAAAATGGGAGCTACCTGTATTGCTGTCTATTGAATCTTGGTGGCGGATTTGAAAGTGGCGTTCAGGAAATTGATTCACTGTAGTTGTTGAAGAAGCTTTAATGTGGGAAAGTGAAGAGTTTCTGGCTGCTTGCCTGTTGGCATACCTGTAATGTTGGATCCACGGATTACCTTGGCGACCACCAGTATCCTCTGCATTGTTCACACGAGGTTCATTGCTCATGAAATCAATTTTAGACCGACAGCCATCTTGAAAAACCTTATACTGGAATAAAGGAGAGAAGAAAATATTCTCATATTGATTACATCCGATTTAATCAATTCAAATATAAATGAAACCGAGGTCGTTAGCACAAAATGAACAGACCTGGCCAGAACGAACATCAGTGCTCTTCACCTTGTGCTTGGATGATTTGGGTTTTGCTTGGAAATTTTCCAGAGCAGAACCAAATAAATCCAATGATTTGTATAACTGGTCGACAAATGACGCTTCCATAGATTTAATATACAAACTATGTTTCTCGTTTGTCCATTCTATGGGCCTTGATTCTGCTGCCTGAGATTATATTGTCCAAATGAGAATCATAAAATCTCACAGTTTAGTACACAAATGCTAAGATAGACCAATATTAGTAATACATATGGAGAACAGAAGGCACCAGAGCATGATAACAAAGGTTTCCAAACCTTAAAAGCGAGGCATGTAATTATGTCAGCTGTAATAGATTCTCAATCTACTTGTGGAAAATGTTGTCCAGAAAACTCATACCAATTAATGCTATAGAAAATAATACTCCCTCCATGCCATTTATGTAGGCTGATTTTGTTTTTCATACGAATTAAGAAATTTTATTTAATGTTATTGAAAAACAATTTTTGAAAAGAATTTTACTAGTTTACCCTTATCTAATTATTAAAAACTTTACTCCTTTCGAGGACTATGTGTGTTTTTGGATGATTCCAAGGAGTAGGTAAATAAAATCTATACAATTTTAAGATTAATAGGAAAAAATTGGTTATAACGAAGCAAATTAAATAAGGATATATTAGTAAACGAACAAAACAGATACATTCTCAATAAAGAAACAGGACTGTAATTTGGGACCATAAAATAAGGATAGCAAGCCTATAATATGGAGGTGGAGATGGTTCACTAATTGTTGTCTGAAGTCCTAGGACGCCACAAACTTACTTCACTAACTTTGAATGAGCAAAATTATTAACTGTGAGGTGGGTGGAAACGTTATAGATACCGTGATGCACGTGTAGCATCACCCTTTTCTTGCTGGTTACAAATCCATGTACTCAAGATTTGTCTTACGAAAGGCCCCAAATTCATTTTCCCAAACATAATTACTATGTATCCTGTTAATAAGTTAGCTGCATAGCTCCAGATGTTCTACTCGATAGTTCATCTTTTTTCCAGCATATGAGAGAGGGAAAAAAAAAAAAAAAAAGCTTAAATAATTGAAAGCCCAATCAAATTAGATAAACCTTTGATCCCCAACACGGACAGCCAATAGAATTCGAACAAGCCCACATTCTTAACTCAATATTCTTGATTAGATTTAAACTAAAAAAATAAAAAAATTAGAATTCTGGGTATCCTAACTTCTAAGAAACTTTCTCAATTCATACGGTGAAACAAATCATAGGTTTTCATTGAATATAGTTCTTCCCTTTGATATACTGATATTATAATCCCTTTTGTTTGAGGGTTATGGATTCATGAAATAATGAAAAAAAAAAAAAACAATTAATCATGAAAAGATAGCGAAGAGCCCATTCATGCATAAATACAGAATTAATTCAAAAGACAAGAAAATGAAATATCACCATAGTTGAGGTCTCTTCTTGCTCAACACAATTTCTTGAATCCTTATAATTTTCCAGCTCCTGAGAAAAATTTCTACCAACCCCAGATGAACCCACAAAATTTTCCATAATCTGATGCCCAAATCTTGTTGAATAATTTAACTGAAAACTAGAAAATTTAAATTCCAGAATAAATATGCTGTTTTGTTCTGGTTGGAATGGTTTGATTCCATTAATTTCCTTGAAAAAGAGCAAAAAGAAAGTCCAGCTGTCAACTTTTTTACATATGTCGAACAACCATCATATCGCCACGTCACCGCTAAGACGGTCAGATATTTTTTGAGTATGGGTTCCAAAATATCAAAGCTTAGGATCATAAAATATCTCCCTTCTTTGGAGTTATAAACCGCCATTTCAATGTAACTGTCACCAATTTTGCCTCAAACTTTAAATGTTACCAATTTTGGCCCAATCTTAAAATCAAGAACATTTGTTAGCAAAATTTATATTTTAATTTAAATTAATTAAACTTACTTTTTAAACACACGTTTCATAGAAATCATAATTTTTTTTAGTGGGAATGAGTTTTAGAATAGTAAATTTTTGGAAAATACGTGATTAAAAGTAAGAAATTTTTTTTTTAAGTTATATATATATATTGTGTGAGAATATATAATTAAAAATGAGTATGAGAAAAAATGAGTTCTGAAAGAATATTCGTCAAACAAGGACTTAATAAAAAAAAAGGCTCCGTTTGAGTAATTCAACTATAAAGATGTGTAAAGAAGTGCCTCTAGCCTGATTTTTTGAGCTTATTTTGTTAGTGAAGTTGTAGTCATCTTTAAAATAAATAGCTTATTCACAACTTGAATAACTACAATGTTATCATTTCAAGATTAGATTGTACTACTTGTACATAGAAATAATTCATAAATGATTATATAAAATGATGTGAAGGGAAAAAATTAGATGAAAAAATTATCTATATTTTAAATTGATAAATGACACAATGACATGTGGTATTATATAATATATTATATAAAGGTTGAACCCCAACTTTAAAAGTCCTCCATCGTCGCGCCTCTGGAGTGTTGCGAGAGAGGTTAATCGCGAGATATCTTTCAACAAGCCAGAGAATAAGAGCTGCTTGTACACTGGTACTCACAAAGAGTCTCAATCCATATTTCAGGATTCGAACCCTCACACATTATAAAAAGTTTGATGTA